ATCTGCAAAGCCTCTATGTTCTTTTAGAAGTGGAATATTTGAAGTCAAACATGATAATTGTTGGATACATAAAGGATTTAGGTTTTTGTTGTTACTTTCCAAGTCATGTAATATTTAATGTAGTTATCACAATCTCTTTCTCAAAACGTCATAAGTCATTGCATTTTTGAATCAGAAGATAACCTATTTGGATTTTGAAGTCGAGTTATAGTCCTTATTAAGCAGTGATAATGGTATGAATACTCCATTGTTGATCCTTTATCTGCTTTTAACTGGAGTAAGTACTAAGTAGATAAAACGAATCATTAATCAGCTCTCTTTATTTTGTGAGACCTTTTTCAATCCTCAATTTGTTGTTTGATAGGTTCAACAGCCGAGTCTGAGCAATTCAATCAGGTGGCTTCAAATTCAGACCTCCTCTGACCTCGTGAGTTTTCACAGTTGATGTTTTTCTTCATATTAAATACCCATATGAGTTTATATCTATGTTTTTTATGTCACGCACTTTGAAATTATTGTATCAGAAGCCTTAATATCACTGTCTCTTTTTCATGCAGGACCTTCGTGCACAGCTTAAGGAATTAATTCCAGAACAGCAGGTGCATTTCCCCATTAGTGCTTCACACATAACAACTAACTAAAAAAAGTTCAATTGGTGATGAAAAATATGATTAATCACTCATTTTTGTGCAGGAGCGTCTGAAAAAGATCAAGTCAGAATATGGAAAAGTTCAATTGGGCAACATTACTGTTGATATGGTAAATCAATGTTTCTTTACTTATAGCTTATTTTGTGACTTTTTGGTTTTTCACTATCTATTTAAGTTTCATAATATTTACATCTTGTGTTACAAATTTTCACAAGGTACTTGGTGGGATGAGAGGAATGACAGGTCTGCTATGGGAAACATCCTTACTTGATCCAGATGAGGTATTATATCTTCTATCTTTCTGTTGATGAACTTTTTTTATCTGTCTTTAGTCATTATAAGTTGTAAATAGTCAATGATATTGATATTAATATATATTTCATAAATAAATAATAATTCAGGGAATTCGGTTTCGGGGTCTCTCCATACCTGAATGCCAGAAGGTATTGCCCAGCAGCAAAACCTGGTGGAGAGCCGTTACCTGAGGGTCTTCTATGGCTTCTTTTGACTGGAAAGGTAAACTGTTAAATGTTAATATGCCATTTGTTTATTTTTATTTTCTTTATTGACATTTTTTTTGTTTTCTATATTCTCCATCAATAAAGGTACCAACAACAGAACAAGTGAATGCTTTGTCCAAAGAATTACGCAGTCGTGCCATTATCCCAGGTCATGTAATTTCATTTCCTTTTAATTTTAATTATATAAAAAGTTGAACTTTTTATTTATTGGTGTATTCTGTTTATTGTTGCAGATCATGTGTATAAAGCCATCAATGCATTACCTATAACAGCTCATCCAATGACTCAGTTTACAACTGGTGTCATGGCTCTTCAGGTTAGCTTTTTCATGTAATCATTTCTTTACAAAAGAGGTCAATTTGGCAGGAAATAGCAAATAGGAACATACTTTACACTCCTTATATTTATATAAAATCATTTTGTTAAGCTAAACTAACATTATAAGCAATTAAGCAGTATATAATTTTTAAATATACTCCACAATTTAACTGCACTCCTTTTTTCACAGGTACAAAGTGAATTTGCAAAAGCTTATGAGAGTGGAATCCATAAATCCAAGTGGGTTTCTTCTAATTTTTATATTTTTTAACACACTTATTTTTAAAGCAAAAGATGATTTTATATACTTATTATTATGATTCAAGATACTGGGAGCCGACATTTGAGGACTCTCTTTCATTGATTGCTCAACTACCAGCTGTAGCTGCATATGTATACCGTAGGTATGTCTATGTGTATATCCAAAGGAATGCCATTTCTACATTATTTCCTATTGAAAAATGAAAGTTTTAACTGTTGTTTATAGTTGATTTGACTTGCTATTTTTTTTTTTTTAAAAAAAGGATATATAAAAATGGAGAAGTTGTGGCAGCGGATGACTCGTTAGATTATGGTGCAAATTTTGCACATATGCTTGGATTTAATAGTCCAGCCATGCAAGAGCTTATGAGGCTTTATGTCACTATCCATACGTAAGAATATGATCTATGATTATTTACTTGTTTGTATATATTTTTGAATTTATGTTTAAGGATTATGAAATCTTGATTTATTGTAGTGACCATGAAGGTGGAAATGTCAGTGCTCATACCGGACATCTTGTAAGTTCCAAAAATAGGCCTGTATATGTGTACGAGTGTTAAATGCAAGAAATAAAACACACTTTATACTTGAAAATTTTACCTAGTTATAGCAATGATTATAGGATATGTTTTTTGATGGTTATTTTAGGTTGCTAGTGCTCTATCGGATCCATACCTCTCATTTGCTGCAGCATTAAATGGTCTAGCTGGACCCCTCCATGGTTTGGCTAATCAGGTACCCTCATTGTATTTTTTTTTTCCTGACTAGAATCTTATACAGTGTACTTTTTTTCTTTTTTTCAGTTTTGAATAACAAGATTGTTTTTTTTTTCTTTGGTGCAGGAAGTTTTGCTTTGGATAAAGTCAGTGGTGGATGAATGTGGAGAGAACATAACCAAGGATCAATTGAAAGATTATGTCTGGAAAACCTTGAATAGTGGGAAGGTAATGTGTAACACTTGTTAAAAATCCTTTGTTGAAGTTTTTAAATAAATTTTATTGAAAATTGGTTATGATATGTATCATGAGAAAATAAATTGATGGTATTGAAACACAGGTTGTTCCAGGATTTGGGCATGGAGTTTTAAGGAAAACTGATCCCAGATACATGTGTCAAAGAGAATTTGCATTAAAGCACTTGCCTGATGATCCTCTCTTCCAGCTGGTTAGCACCTTATTGGCTGTGTTTGTTACATGTGACTGGACAAGCTTTATAGGGCTATTTTTGATGACACGGATGAGGAGGGCATTTACGTCTTTTTCACATACAAGAGATCAATAGCATGTCCATGTCCCACCTTTTTGGGTTGAACAAAAAGTTGCAATTTTTGTCCCATTGACATCAGTCTCAGTCCAGTTTAATCTTGTCATGGACTCTTGATACCAGTTTTGCTAATTTATTATTATTATTTTTTCTTTGTAATTTGATTAGGTTTCAAAGCTTTATGAAGTGGTGCCTCCGATCCTAACAGAACTTGGCAAGGTAACTGCTATGTATTGATTTCTGTTTATTGCTTGTTTTATTTTAATGTAATTTGACAGACTGAATTTGGAGTAGTTAAATCCATGAGTTATATCTGGAGTGTTGTTTTTGTAGGTGAAAAACCCTTGGCCCAATGTTGATGCTCACAGTGGGGTGTTGCTTAACTATTACGGTTTAACTGAAGCAAGGTATGCATTTCTCAATTTTGTATGGATAATGAGACACACAAAATAAATGTCAAATTTTTTTTCTTTCTTTCTAATAAGTAATAATGGATGGTTCTTTGTTATTTATTTTTGGCAGATATTACACTGTTCTGTTTGGTGTATCCAGATCCATTGGAATCTGCTCTCAGGTTCGCCTTGCCCCACATTATCAATAAAATATATTTGACTTTGGACTTGGATTCATCACAAAACTTTATGTTGCAATTTTGTCCCATTCCAGTCTAATGGGCCCTACAAGAACAATTATTCTGTGACGATGACATCATTAATCATTACCAAAAAATAAATAAATTGAAATTAATGTTATTTATTCTACATCCCTCAATTGTTTGACAGCTGATATGGGACAGAGCACTTGGGTTGCCACTAGAGAGACCTAAAAGTGTTACAATGGAATGGCTTGAAAAACACTGCAACAAATCTGCATAATCTTATTCTTCCATACCAAACAAAACATACACAAAAAGAGTTTATTACCTTTTTTTTTTTTTGCAAATAATATCAAGTGATTACTCAACCTTTCCTTCTTACATATGAGGTGGTTATGCGTAGTTGTTTAAATCGGGTAGAGGTAAATTACTAAATTCAAATTTTCTACATGATGGATCTTGCTGGCTGTATACAAACTTTGTAGCTCAACAATTCCCTTGTGCTTCTATGAAATGTATTATTTTACATAATTTGTCCATTTTTTTTTTAATTTATGGCATTCTAGAAGTTTGGCTGCCATTTATGTTTTCATGATCTTTCTACATAATGTATGGCAACAAAATCAAAGATAAATATGGTTTGGTTAGAGATGTCAACAAAAAATTGTAATATATGAACTTCAAAACCTCCAGAGCTAAATGATCACATGCTACGAAGTTGTCAAATATCATAACTATTTGATGATTCATTATTTAGGAAATGCGATTTAAGTGTTGATTAGTTGTGTGAAAAAACTTCACACAATCTCACGTTGCACAAGCTTGTACGTCTCTTTTTGAAAAAACTTCACACTCTTTATCGACTAGAGATGGATTATTGGGCCGGATCTTTTATTTCTTCCCAATGGGTTGGAATTATATTAAAACAAATTTCCTTCTTTCTGAGTAAGAAAATAAGCTTGCCATTAAGCTTAGAAATATATAGTGGGTTGTACACATTTACCAGAATTAATAAATATTGAGAAATAATTTACATTTCAGATTATATGTGTTAACGAAGTTAAAGAGAATGTAAAACAATCAAGTCATTATTTTTAGGGTTGATGGGTTATTGACATAGAAGCACAATAATGTTTTCTATTTGGTTTTAAAAAGTCATTTAACTAATTTTCGTACTTCTAACCCCACTAAAGTGACAAATTACCTGCCAAAATTACGTTTTCTTCATTTTATTACCGGTTACCCGGTTGGTCAACGAAAGTCAAATGTGATGTGGTCTATGGAATCCAGCTGTGTGTCCAATCAACTTACTACATAACTTTCGTAAAAGTTCAATAGATCCACTCTCACTATTTTCTTACCCTCCGACGAACACCAACCCTTTTGACCATGTCTTCCTCCTCCGAATCCTATAACACCGTTGCCATTTACGGTGTTGAGGTGAATCCTCCCTGCTTGTGCCGCAATCAGCCTTTGTCGAAGCTCTGGAAGCCTAACAACCCAGCTCGTCGCTTCTACAATTGCGCAAAATCAATGGTAATGTATCATTCGTTTACAATCGGTAACTTTTAACCCTAAAGTTTTGATTTTTCTACTGCAAACCCCCTATTTTGATCGACAAAAAAACCCCCATTTACAACGAGAAAACCCTAAATTATGAACAATAAAACCGTTCTTCTGGTGTGTGGCTTTCTTTTGTAGATATCCAACGACAATTGCAACTTCTTCCAGTGGCTTGACCCAGCATTACCAAAATACTACAAGGATACGTTATGGAACATGAAACTTAGGATCGACGACCTTTTGGTTAGGAATGGTCTAAGTTGTTGAGCTGCAGAAGAAGGTGGAGAAGCACAAGCTTCTTAGGAAAGCTGAGAAAGAACTTGTTGAAGCTAGGATCCTAAAACTACTCATTGAGATTGAAAGTATGAAGAAAATGTTGAAAAAGGTTGTTTTGATTGCTCTGGTCTGCTTGTTGTGTGACATCCCCATTTTCATGGCCAGAAAAGACCGAATTTGTTTATGCTTTGTAAAAAAATCAGAGTAATGTTTTAAATAAAAGAGTTGCGGAATTTGTTCCCAAAACAAAATTTGATAAATATTTATCAAAGCATTTCCATAGAAATGTATTTCATTAAAAAGACTCGGGATGTCATGTTCGATACAGATCAAAAGCATAAACAGTACAACATAAGCCTTACTACATTATTTTGTATTTACAGGCCTAAAATCCCTTATCTCTCATCCAAACATCTATGCTCATGCGCCACTACCTGTAATACAAGAAACTGAGTGGGTCAGGCTTGGGAGCTTGGTGAGCACATAAGGTTTTCAACCCACAATAAATAAGTTTATTAACTTTATCAAACCAATCAAACCCGATTACCCCTTCCCGTTATCCTCACTTTACGTCCCTAAAACATCTAACACAAGGGACCTAGTCTAAGGACTTTCATTGGGGTGACAACACATGCTTCAGGGGTTCCTCAGCAATTCATGTCAAATAAGGCAACCATGTGGGGGATAGAGTACTGCTGGTGATCACACAGTTCAAATAAACACCTACAGGTTGCGAGCCTGCTAGCGTTCCACTGGATTGTCTAGAATAGTCCGTGGTCGTCATCTATACTCCGCTAGATGACTAGATCATCAATAACATCTATAACGAGGCCTCTCATTATTTTATTTTGTCACACATCAACTATTACATCTACCCATGTTTTACCCAACACATTTTGTAGATATAAAATACATATACAGTTTAAATCATTTAAAACATGTATAAAATCGTTCATCTAGCATAGATAACAAGTATACAGATAATATGCACACGTATCACGTAATTTATATAAAATACTTCATATCTATGTGTAAGATGAAAGTAACTATGCCCTCACTTGATTAGGTGGTGACTCTGCACTTGGACAGCACTTCGTTACTTTTAAAACAATTTCCTTCGACAAAACCTAGTATCATTACCACTAGGGTTTAGTCTAATATTTACCGAGACTAATTAATAGTCTAGCCATTATATTACTATTATATAAACGTTAAGCAACACTTTTATATAACTCATAATAATAGCCCAAATAATTATTTTAAGGTCCTAATAATGTTACTATAATTAATTAGAAGCTATATTAAAAATAGCATAGGCGTAGCTTACTTACAACGGGTTTTCTTAAAAACCGGGCTTCGCTTTGTCACACCCCCGAACCGTCAGAACGGACGGTGGAAACGTCCGGGGGCGGGTGACGTCATACGTAGTATCAGAACAATCGTATCATAGCAATCAAAGTAAACACAACCATTACATTATAATATGAACATTTAAATCTGTTTGAAAAACATAGTTTGTACATATCAGTATATACAAAAGTAAAAGACGTTGTAACATCCCGAAATTTCAGAAGTTCAATGAAGGGCCAAAAGTGTAAATAAAAGAAGGGACTCGACGAGTAGGTCTTCTTACTCGCCGAGTCGGAGCGGGATTCTGTCGCGGTTTAAGTGGCCAACTCGCCGAGTCGGCGGCTTGGACTCGACGAGTTGGTGCTGTAGAGAGAAAACCCTAATCCCGGGGGTTGTGCCCTATATAAAGAACATTATAACCCACCCTTAGCCTCTTTACTACCCTTTTGAGATCCATAAACCCTAAAATCGAGTGAGCCTCCATTAATAGAGAGAATAAAGCTTTGGAGGAGGAAATCTTGGAAAGGGGCTTGAAGATCAAGAGGCTTGCTGCAAAGGAGTGGTGTAGATCCGGGATCTACTTCAGTTGGAGCTTATATTGGAGGTAATAATCTGTTGCTTGGGCTCTTTTGCATCTAGATCTTTTATCATTTGAGATTTAGGGCATTTTTGGTATGATTGAGAGCTATTTCGAGTTAGAGGCTTAGATCTGAGGTTGCTACCTCAGATCTAGGCTTGTGATGGTCCAAAATGTCATAAAGCTCCTGTCTAAGAGTTGTTGGTGAAGCCCCCTAGTCCTTAACCCTAGCCCTAGAGTGTTTTGGGCCTATATCTCCTTGGTTTCACGTAAAGTTTGCCACTTTATGTGAGGGTTAGACTGTAGAAGAGTGGATCTATGGATTGGAGCCCCTGCATGGTTCGAAAAGCCACTGTATGGATTGAGAACTGGAGAGACTCGACGAGTCACATGGGTGTACTCGACAAGTTGTATGAACATGCGCATGGACTCGGCGAGTTGGAAGAACAACTCGGCGAGTCTGTTGAAGATTGCTTTGGACTCGGCGAGTCTGTTCTTGGACTCGGCGAGTCTGGTCGCAGAACCCCAATCTCTTCTGGTTAAACCTCGAAGCAGCGAGTCGGGAGGTGACTCGGTGAGTTGAGCAGGATGGGACTCGGACATCGTTGGACTCGACGAGTCTTGGGGGTGACTCGGCGAGTTGAGTCGTGTTCTAAGAGTTTTCAGAGTATAAGGATTCAACGAGTCAACGGGTTGACTCGGCGAGTAGAGTCGGTCATGAAGTTTGACTTTGGCCTGGACTTTGACTTTGACCTTCATGGGTGTTATGGTAATTGGTTATTTATGTCAATGGTCCATTGATGGCAATAGGTGTTGGGGTTTGGAGCAGTGCTTCGGGAGTGTGCTTTCGTGGTTCGGTCCTTCGTTTCAGGTGAGTTATCCTCACTGTACTCAAGGGTCTAAGGCACCAAGGCCGGCCCTTTGAATTGTTGTTTAGAGCTTGTTATGCTTATGTGATGATATGCTTGCTAGTATCCTGGTAGATAGGATAATGTTATGATGTCATGCTCTGTTAGCTTAGTATCCTGGAGGATAAGGTAGTTAAGTGATGGCAAGTTTTGTTGGATTAGCACCCTGGTGGTTGGGTAGTGGTTATATTTATAGACCTGTAGTTGGTCTTGCCTTATGTACGCTGGTAGGAGGTTACCTGCGAGATATGTATGTTGAGCAGTAGTAGAAGGTATTCCATCCCGGTAGGATGATAGGGCCCTAGTATGTTGGTTCTGTAGAGTGTTATGTGGTTGCCTATTATGTGTGCATGTTTGCTAGTGTAGGGGCATTCCAACCCGATGGTTGTGGGCCAGAAGTATTCCATCCAGGTGGGATGATTGGATTCGTAGTAGGTTGGCATTCCAACCCAATGGTTGAGGGGCCTGGGGTATTCCATCCCGAGGGATGGTTGGACCCATAGTAGTAATTATTGTATGTATAGGAAGTGGGGCATTCCAACCCGATGGTTGTGGGCCAGGAGTATTCCATCCCGGTAGGATGATTGGACTCATAGTATGTTGGCATTCCAACCCGATGGTTGAGGGGCCTGGGGTATTCCATCTTGCGAGATGATTGGACCCATAGTATTTATTGTAGTACGTATAGGTGTATGGGCATTCCAACCCGATGGTTGTGGGCCGAGAGTATTCCATCCCGGTAGGATGATTGGGCTCGTAGTATGTAGGCATTCCAACCCGATGGTTGAGGGCCAGGGGTATTCCAACCGGAAGGTTGATTGGACCCATAGTATGTTGTTCTTTGTTGTATGTGTATGTTTATGTGTGTATGGGTACTTTGGGGGAAATCAGTAAGCTTTCGGGCTTACAGTTGTGGTTTATTGTTTCAGGTACTTCAGGAGATCGTGGCAAGGCGAAGGCGTGATCGTACCACTCCTCATGTTTTATGATTTATGTGATATGGTTCTGGGGGATACTCTGATGTCTAAACTATTTTGAAAACAAGATGTATGAACTTAATGGTTTTTGAATGAAATAAAATGTTTTAAATTGGTTGAAATTTTTGGTCGTTACAGACGTGACTCCAAATGCTCCGTCTTCTCCAAAAGTTGATAAAAGTACCTGTCTATTGCTGCCCTGAGAATACAAGCATATTGAGAGAGTATCAGCATAAAGCTGGTGAGTTCTTAAGTATTTAGTTCTGGTGAAAGATGTTTCTTTGATTCTTTGAAAAGTGTTTCCCAAGAAAATCCTATATTTTCTTATGAAAGATGTTTGATTATCCATTAGTTATTTGTTAAACAGTCTGTTTATAAGAGGTTGAGTTATCCCGAGAAAATACTATATTTTCCCTAAAAGTTGATAGTTGGTTATTTGTTCTTGTCTGAGGTGTACAAGTATCTACCATACTTGTATCGTTAGACGTAGTTTTCTTGAAAAAAAACCCTGTTTGCTCCCTGTGATGTGTATTAGCCTTATTACATAAATAAAACTAATAAATAAGTGGTGAACTAAATCCTAAGGGTGTTATTAATACCCTCTAGTAATCGAATCAGTTATTACTTTGAGGTTAGTTCACTTGTTTCATTATTACAAATGTAAGTTACTGTTATCTAGGTTGCGAGTGTCATAACCGTACTTTAGACTTGATATGGCACGTAACGGGGCCAGTATCCTTTTATGACTTTGTCACCCCAGGCATGATTGCCTAACTGTAGCTAGCAGTTCAGGTGCGGGATAGTCAGTCCCGTATAGATCTATACACAATAGTCACGTTCTCCCTACAAGAGATTCTGGTTACAAGTGCTAATCCTACACCCAGTTTCTGTGGGGGTGTTACCAAGGACGTGTCTCCAAATTTAGACTAACAATTTGCATGTAATAATACTGAAAATCCTGTTTATGATTGGTATGAATCCTTTATAAAATAACACATTTTACGATATGATTCACGAATTCGTTGCTTTAGTTTTGAAAACTGTTTCTACGAGTTGATTTCTTAATCGTTTGGTAAAACTGTTTTCTGTATTAAAAGCATTCTGAACATGAAATAATATACTTTGAGCACAAGTTTCCTTGTACTTTTGCTTGTATTCCCCCCTGAAAACATGGAAAAC